AACTAGAAAAGGATAAATAGTGCTAAAAGAGACCCATGAGGCCTGTTGTGGGAACATTGCAATGACTCTCTACAAAAGACTACAATGATTCATTTACTACTAGCCTAAGATGAAAAGAGACGCCACCAAGCTGTAAAACAATTGCGATAAGTGCATACTCGAAATAGACAAGTTTGAATGCCTCGTTGTGGATGAAGCTAACTGGTGAGACACTTACTTTGACTACCTAAAGGAGGGAACATTTCCCATAGACACCATACTTAGAAAGAGGTTGTTATCCAAAATTAAGAGGTTCTACTTACAAGACAGGATGCTCTATTGCAAGTCCTACTCCGACTTACCTAATCAACTRCATRTCTTGCTACTGAACCACTAGCAATTGGAGCCTCATTGAAATTTCTATATTTGTCTTGGAAGGAGATTGTATTTTGAACCTGTTAATCAGGGTGTTTGTGTTCTGGTTGCCTCTGATGAAGTTGTGTATTGCCATGCAAGCCACAACTATTAATTGTTGTGTTTTTAGTATATAGCATGGCATACACTTCAGAATAGGGAATCGAGCCTTTATTATACTGAAACTCTGTTTGATGACACTTCTCAATGATGCATGGAATTGTTGAAGTACTCTTCTTTTATTGTAGGTCATCTACCCCTTYGAAAGTCAGGTAAATGATATGTATTACGATATGGTGCCATGTAGCTAGTCATGTTAAGGTAGGCAGAATCCAAACATAGTACTTACTTGATCATGGGAATAGGTTATATATATTTATACGTGTATCCAAATAATCTAAACAGATTATTAATGTATACATACATACCCTGGGGTGGATGTGGGAAATTATATTTCCGATTATGTATGGGCTCTGCAAATATGCAATAGTTATGTGTAGTCCCCTCCAATCCAACATGGACAAATGTAAACCGCATATTGAAATCACATGCAGCCATTACATTTTACATGCAAGGCCCTTTTTTGTGTCGGTACGATGTCTACATATCTGTAGGGACCCACGCAGATATGTGTGTCCCATCAATATCCCTATGCAATTCTATAAAATAAACACTATTATACATACATTCATCCATCTTGTGATTTTAATAATAGCTAATAGTGTGCAAATAGGGCCAATATTTTTTATTATGTTTGATGTATGGATGGACACTATTGAAGTTAGGGGACCCTATGATTGCCAATGAAGTTTAACCACCGCCATCAATATATTATTGAAATACCAACTAATTGTCCATTCTTGCATCATCCGATTCCTTTCATTGTGACCAACAATGTAAAGGAAAATGGCTAATTGCTCCTCCACCAAAACATCCTGACTATCTTCAATGAGTCACCATTCTTTCAGTGTATTGCATAGACGTATAAACACATGTTTGTCCATATAACAAAGTTCATACAACTAGTGCAATCCATGGTGTATGTAGGTTCTTTGTGAACCCATATCATAACAATACTCATCCATGACAAATGCAACATCCAGAATACATTCCATCTCTTCATCAGTGTCCATTACCCCATTGTATGACAAGCTAATTTCAAATCCTGACTCTGTATCCAATACTACTTTGGTCTCTGTTTCGACGTCTATATCAGTATCCATCTCTTACACTACCATGAAATTTAGAACACACTAAGATAAACATAAAAAGAAAGCATAATGACAAAAAATGCAAGTCCAACACACCATATCAAGTCCAATAATAAAGGTTCTAAATTTAAAAAGTTAACAAAATGAAGGAGTAATCAACTTTTTGCAAAGCATAATGACAAAAAAAAAGCAACAAAAGTTCAACACTCTTTCTCAACCAAGTAGAGTAACGTGTGAAACTATCACTCTCTCAGAATGCTCATACAACTCTCTAATCATATTCAGACACATGGCCGGTCATCCCTTCACTTGAAGTTGCCACTGCACCATTCGATATGGGCAAAAGGAGGAGGGTTTTCTCCATTCTTAGGGGCAGCTTGGGGAATACGAAATATTTTAAGGGACTGTATCATCCCAAAAAAAATATGAATAAGCACTTGTTGAAGAAGTGCTTAAAAAAGCCACTCGAATGCTGCTGATTTTTTAAATGCTTATTTTCGAAATAAGCACTTATTCCTGACTTATTTGCCAAATAGGAATAAGTGCTTATTTTGCACTTATTGTATGGTCCCAATACTTATTATAAGTACTCATTCAAATAAGTGCTTATTATAAGTAAAATCAAACAGGGCCTTATTCTCTTAGGTGCTGATGTAACAAGAGATTACAACGGTATAAAAGAGAGATTGACAAAGTCTTCTATGGTCCATTACAACAATTTCCCCCGTTTTATTCAAATGAAAAGCTAAGTGGGCCACTACATCTATTGCATACGTTGTTACACTAGTTGCATGGGCTGCATACGTGGGAACATAGGCAACTCAAACATCGAATCGTAACATTATATTATTACTTTAATAGTAATATATACCTATCAGCTTTTCCATTCTTCAAAATTATTACTTTAATTAACCAAAATTTACTATTTGTAATACTTTAACTTTGATAATTTACTACTTATATTTATTGCTTTTCATTATGAATAGATTGATTACAAATTAACCAAAAGTCAGGACTAATTTATTTGACTGATTACTAATTGACTGAAAATTACTACTTATATTTTTTTACTAATTGACTCATTAATTACTACTTATATTCATTACTAATTAACAAAAAGCTCCTAATTGACCGAAATATGATCTTACAAAACTAACCGAAGAATTAGTTCAATAAAAGTTTTGGAAAATCATTAATTTAATAGGAATTTTCATAATTTATCAAACAATAATTTTGGTAATTTTGGACAACAATTAATTTAATAGAAATACTTATTTAAATGAATTTACCAAAAAAGTATTTTGTTTACCAAAAATTAATAATTTGTTTCCATGATTTTAGAAAATTAATTTTAGTAATTAACTGTGGTAGATTAATCTTGGTTAGCTTTGTAATTAATTTTGATAAATTAATTAGTCAATTTTCCAATTATTCATGCTAAATTAATTTTGGTAACTCTCTTAATTTAACTTACCAAAAATTAAATTAACAAAATTTGGCAATTTACCAAAAAATAGTTTCAGTAAATTAAATATTAGTTAATTTTGGTAAGTCTAGGATTTATCAAAAAATATTATTTTTCATAATTTATCAAACAATAATTTTGTGACATTTATAAAATTAATTTTGGTAAATTAATAAAATTTTGATAATTTTCCAAAAATGAATTTTGGTAAGTTACTTTTTGCTAAATTTGATAATATACCAATAAAATATTTGCTAAATTTGATAAGTTATTTTTTGTAATTTTTCAAAATTAATTTAACAAAAATGAATATAATAAATTTTGGTATATTGAAAAATTAATTTTCTTAAATTAATTGAGCCTTATTTTGGTAAATTAATAGCTTACCAAAAAGTTGTTTTTTTTTCTAATTTATGAAACAATAAATTTAATAATTTTTTAAATTATTATTTCATTTGTTTTGGTAATTTTGGAGAAAATTAATATAATACAATTTTTATAATTTTCAAAATTAATATCGGTTAACTTGGAAAAATTAATTTTGGTAATTAATTGTGATAAATTATTTTTGGTAAATCTTATAATGAATTTAGATATATTATTTTTGGTAAATTTGGTAATTAATCTTTGTAATTTAGTTTTGGAAATTTTGTAAAATTCATTTACCAAAATTTAATTAATCAAAATTTGATGCTTTTCAAAAAATTAATTTCAGTAAATTAATATTAGTTAAATATGATATATTAATAATTTATCAAAAATTATTAATTTTATCAATTTCAAAACAATAATTTAAAATTTTCAAAATTATTAATTTAATATTTTTTGTAATTTATATAACAATAATTTTGGAAACTCTAAAAAGTTAATTCTTGATAATTTTGGCATTTAATTTTGGTAAATTGGGTGATTAATTTTGGTAAGAATTGACCTCACAAATTGAAAGGTTCAAAAATTTAACATTTTATGTTGATAAATATGTATTTTAACTTTTACCATACAAACATTAATTATATAATTATTAAAATTGTAAAAATTGAGAAACAAAGTAGATTAATTTTACTAACAATATATTATATTATTTTCTGTCGATGCATCACACACTTGCAAACTTCAAAATCTCTTTTATTTCAATTTTGCATAACAAAACCTGTCCGTTGCACGGACCCCGCTAGTACATTATATGCCAACCTGCCCTGTACGGCTGTACCCTTGGCAAGAATCACTTCGAATGCAGAAAAGTTGTTCAATGAAAACAATTGAGGTGCTAGTTAACCCAATTTACTGAAAACAAAATGGTTGCACTGAACCCGGTTCATATTCAACATTCCCACCTTTATTCATTCTTTTGGTTGTGTTTCTTTACAGTGCAAATGATACATAAATGTACTCTAGTTCAATTTTGCAAATGTTTGCTAAGCATATACCAGTGCACTGGTAATGACAACTGTCACAACTACCAAAACATATTTGTATTCACAATTGATACATTTTGATATATACTTTACACTCGGTTGATGTAAAAAAAAAAAAAAAAAATTTATGTTTTATGTTTTACTCTTTTTTTCAAAATCAGTTTAGAGGGGCCGATTTAAGGCCCGGCTACCCTCTGAACGAATGGCTGACCCGATACAACCCCTGTAAGGGCATATCGGGAAGCCACCAGCATGATACGTATCGGCCGATACGTGTCCATACTTTAAACCTTGCTCGCTACAACCAAAAACCGTTTGTTTGGAATACAAAATTTATCAGTACCAAATTAAACCAATTTATATTCGTTAACCAGTGGGGGAGAATTTTTGAACGGTACATATTTGTTTTTGCACCAAAACAAACGCAGCCTAGTTACTTAAATGCATGCTTTGCTTAGGTGCAGAAAAGAGTGGCAGAAGTAGAAGTGATACAGAACAAGAACAGCAGCAGATACGTGGATGTGTACGTCTCTATAGTAAATGTCTTAAATGCTTTGATCCAATGATAGGAATAGAAAATACTCGACACCAAGATATTATTAAATGAAATAGGCATAATCCTTCATTGGGAGGGGAGCAGAGATCAGAGATATTTTCCTTCCCCACGCTCCAATTGGAGGTTTTAGCTCTATTCAAAATTTGAAGAAAAGAGATTTAATACAATCGATCAAAAAGCTCATTTTTCCTCTCTCACGCCCCAATTGGAAGTTCAACTCATGTGGCAAAATTTAACAGCAGAATTCAACAGAGAATAGAACCAAATCACCCATATCCTCTGAAACTGCATATCATCTGTAATATGATGCCATTATATAAAGCATAACAGCAGTTGAAACGGTAACAAATAGCTCCTGCATACAAAGGATGAAAGGAAACTTGCTACCATAAGGGCAAATCCAAACAAAAATGCTGGAAGGAGGAATTGCATGCACGAATTAAATACAAAGTGCATGTTATGTGTGCATGTCTTGAGGTACAATTATGCATAACTGCATGCATCAATGTATGTCCACAGGCATGCATTAACATGGTTGCTTTATGTTTATAATGCATCTTTTAATACATAGTTCCAATTCTGAAGTAGTTGCAGGATGTTGAACTTCAGTGAAAAGAAAAGAGGTAGACAAATCCACATGCACATTAAACTTCGTATGCATCTTCTCCGTGTTATGTGCAAGAACCAAAATTCCAACAAGTCAATTTAAGTACCTGGTTATTGTAGAGGAAAGCAGGTATGTACTGACCCAGAAACTCAATAAGGTTAAGAATGCCTGTGAAGCCCTGCAATATTTATACAGTAAAGCAAAGAGGAAGAACATCAGACAGTCAAAAAAGGAACGGGCTTTAGAAGAGAAACTAAACAATGACAAGCATTGCTTAAAGATCTTACGAAAATGTGGCAATAAAGCCCATAGAATGCAACTAATTTTTAAAGCCAGAAAGGCAGAAACATCTCTCAGAACTAAAAATAACCCTTCAAATTACAAATGAACATGTGAAACATTTTAGACCATGAATTTGGTACCTAAAACCAAAGAAGTTCATATCTGATCTCCACACAAAGATATTATGGGACTTAATATTTCACTCTTATCAACCTATCACCGAGAAGATAATTATGGTATGCCTGATCCAGTGACACACACAAAGAAGAAGAATCATGTACCAAGGATGAAGCAGCAATGCAGCCAAAAACCAGTGCAAGAGAACGAAGAAGACGTTTTCCCATTCGCAAAGCCCTACCTTCATCCTCACCATCTTCCTGCAGATAAAAGACATTTCAAAATTCAATTAAATTGAAACAGTAGTACTAACAGAAAGACCAGAATTAGCTGTAAATTCTTCATAAGAGAGTACCACTAAGAAAAGGATAAAGAAACTGGTTGCTCAAGGTAACTCACAGTAAATGTTGGAGATACAGGTGGTTCAAAGACTTTTAACTTTTCAAATATTCTGTAGACAAATGCAAAAGCTAAAAACTGCAGTGGCTTCCATTCAGCATTCTGTTTGATTATGATCCAAGCTGTCTGCATAGAGGCAAAGAGATAATAACAGATCATCTAGCACCCTTTCAAGAGAAGAAAGAARGTGCAACTTACAACTCTCAAAGCTAACCCAAATATAATCTACAAGCAAGAAAAAAAAATGCACTCTTCACCGACACCTCTTCCTCAAGGAATTTGAGAACACAGGACCACTGCTCAAAGCTCCATGAGATGGATGCAGTTGGCTTAATGTTCTCTTTTATTTGATTAGTATAATAACAGTATTGTACATGTCATAAGCAGCTGATATTAAATAATTTGTACCATAAGATTAATTACGTTTTCCCTCTTTGTAAGTAAAATATAAATTATACTGGGAATAAATTTTAACAGATGCAGTTGATATGCTACACATACTACTACGAGGAAGAGAAAGGTTAAAGAATGGAAGTGTGGGGAAACAGATTGGCAGTAGCATGCATAAGAATCAAAATTCATGGTAAAGTAATAAACTAGATCCTTCAAAAACAAAATTGCATTGGCACAAATACATTGATGAAGACAGGTGTGGTCCTTATGATTGAGAACCAGATCAATTTCTTTTGATTGGCATTGGGAACCACATCAAATTGCTTCATCTTTTCCATACTATTGTAATGCAGAAGTTTATCACTTCAAATGGGGTCATCTGTCCTGAAATGCAGTCACTGTGCTCCTCGTCATAAAGAAGGTAAAAGAGAAAAGTGAGACGATTTCATTTCCTTTCTTCAAAATCCTAAACTTTAGCTGAAATAAGTTCACTTTCTATGATAGAATGCCATCCTTGTTCTATGCACTTTGCACAATTTTCCATCATTTCAAGTGCTATGAAAGGTACATTATTCAAAATTTCAAGACAGGGTATCATAAAAGGCTGAATCAATCAAAAGTTTCATTGCTCGAATCAAGCCAACCTTCAGGGATTGAATCAGAACTGGTTGAAAGATATCCATATTTGGTCTACCAAGAGCCAACATATTACAATGGGCTGAGTGGCAAAACACCCTGTGAAATACCTACAGATCATCTAAAATTGTCTGTTCTTTAGGTCCAGAAAGCCCGGAGGCCAGGACCAGGCCCGTGTAGGGCTGGGCCAAGGCCTGCAATTTAAGTCTAGAGTGTGGACCAGGTTAGGCCCAGGCCTAGTCCATGATCACCCCTACCCTTTAGCAACGGCAAGGATTAATAGAGATGAATTGCTTTATTATTTTATCAAAAAAAAAAAAAGAAAATGGAGGTGAATTGCTTTGGGGGCACCAGACATGGGATTGTATCCTGTATGGTTCCATGATGAAAGTGTATGTCATGTCAGAGTTAGGATAATTTATACCATGGTTTAAAATTTCGATATCAAAGGACATTTCACCATGTTGAGATAGGGAAATTTCAGGGATATTTTTCTAACATTTTGAAAAACATAAAGAAATCAAGGAAATTTTCTGAAAACATGGAATTTGATAAAACTTCATGGAATTGTTAGGAAAAGTATAGTTGCACATTAGGCTCAGAAAACCATAGCCAACAATTTTGTATATCAAATAAAGGGAAAATAAATAAACTTGAGTAGTATCTTTCTTTGTCTCTCTTTTAGTCTTTTAGCCATCTTTTTTTCTCTTTTGTTATGTCTTTTTTTCAATTCATTTGTATTATAGTTACTTAGCAAGCGAATCATATTAGAGTAGTCAACACCCAAAGACAATCATTTCGAAGATTTCTATGAAGCACCAGAAAGTTTATGCATACTACAATTTAAATCTTAAATACATAGTTTACCAATGAAATTTGATATATCACCTATATATTGGCAAGGTATCAAAGATATTTCACCAAATATGGTGGAATGCCTTTTAAGTTAGGCTTTGTGAGACCTCCCTTCCCACCTGACCTCCATCCTCACAATCATTCTTATAGAAATGCAATCACTGTGGCCTTTATTATTCCTGAAAACTCCACCCACTCCAGATTAGCCCAGGTTACCATTACTACAGCCATCAAATCTCAGCTTCGCAAAGCCCTCCTCTGGTGGTATCCACCTAATGCTCATTTTGTTTTCTTTCTTTTTTTGGATCAGCAACACAGAATTTTATTAAAATTTAAGGAGAAAGAGATTACAACAAGAGGTTGTTAGAACTAAAACCCTTTACACCCAATGCTCATTTTGCCTTTGCATGATAATGAGTTGGCCACTTCTCTCCAATTCCTAATTATGTCATCTGTTGAGAAAAGAGAGAAAACCTCCATGGTATTCCTATCTGCACAATTGGACAAATACGTGTGCCCTTCCTCCACTCTGAACAACTACCTCTCAACTTCCAAAATCCCCAAGTCCATTCTTGACCAACACCTTAACACACTACCATTTACTTAGTACAATTCATCTGCTGCAGCTTCATCTCTACTTTTTAGATCTGCAAACACTTTTCTTTCCTAGCATACTCCTCTCTAGCCAAGAAGAACAAGCCCGATTTTTTAAACAATTTCAACTTCTCTATCAATGACCCTCTCCACATCTACTTTCATATCCACTAATCTAACTTGTTTCAACATAAAATCATTACCATTCTTCGTTTCAGCATCTTCCTCTAAATCATCTTCAAAAACATCCTTCATATGTTTAGATTTTATCTGCCCTTATTTTTAACTACTTGGGTCTTTTTACATGAATATGATCTTCCCATTTTACCTCAAAGAAAATTATTCATGCATGCGTCCATCTATTCCTTCTGATGATTCATCCCTCATGTTCTCCTCCAGCACAGGATCACTCTCTTTTAATAGAACATCTTCCTAGTAACTGCACACAATGATGTATCATTTCTTATACCGTTTGCGACATTTGCTCCATTCAAAGTCACCTCTATCTCTGATATCAAACGCTCTATAATCAAACCCATTATCTGGTTGATAACTTTGCTGCTCTTCCTCTTATAAAACTTTTTGAACCTTCTACATGGATCTGGACCACATAACCCACTCTTAAATTGAAAAAAAAAAACCTTTGGTGACATGAACCAATCTATGGCTTTTGGCATCTCTAACATGTCTTGTTCTTTTCCAAAGTTACTTTCTCTTCCTCTTCTACAGTTCCAGATTCCTTACCCATCAAATGTGATTTGATGATTGGATTAAAATTTCTGATGTGACCTAAATCTTTTCCCACTTTACCACCATGAACTTTGACAATTCCTTTTCCAGAAGCTCTGCCATCATCTGCCTTCGACGTTTCGCACAGATCCAAACCTTCTCAACATAACTGCCTAGTTTTTCACTTGGTGCCCATGCTAATGGTCAATGAACTTATGCTGAGAAGAATCACCCTCAATACTTCTTTATATCAAATTATTTCAAGTCACATTAACTTCAATTAGGTCCTTGGGACCAACAATGGCTGATGGATGATCTGATCCACCAAGTAGTGCATCTGTAGTCAAATAAGCCCCATCAACCACCCTAGCTGACAAGAACTCACCCCCCCCCCCTTAGGTTTTGTGAGACTTCCCTTCCCACCTGACCTCCACCCTCACAATCATTCTTACCAGCAAGGTTCAAAGTACCGATACTGGACGATACGCCGGTAGGGCGTATCGACCTGATCGACCTGTATCGGTCCTTTTTTTTAACTTTTACTTTTTTTCAACTTTGGTTCAGAGGAGCCGGTTTAAGTCCCGGCTACCCTCTGAACCAGGCCCTGACCCAATACACCCTGTAGGGGCGTATCGGGAAGGGCCCAATACGTAACGATTTTTTGAACCTTGCTTACAAGTCACATCTTCTTAAATACATCCACACCCAATATCTGGAATACCAACCCCAACCATCCTCCCTTTCATGATCTTCATCAGCTCCTCGCACATGACCCTATTCCCCAAGGAAGCTACAAAGGATATCTCTAACATCTTCCATCTCAATCACCTCCTGATTCTGGTTCATACCATAATCTACCACCTCGTTACCTGTGTTATGCATTGAAGAATCAATTTTCCATGTACTTGCCTCTCATCCCAAGGGCTGGAGATAACCTCCACATTTTGTTGCACATTTGGCATTATGGCCACCTAAACATGAATTGCAGCCACTTCTTGAATTAGCAATATCTAATGTATTTCCATTTCCTATGATACCCAGATACCTGTACAAGGGTGACATATCACATTGGATGTGTCAATTCTTGGTGTAAATTTTGTATCAGATTCCATATCCAGCCACGTGCTTCATCCATGTGAAAATGTGCCTGGATTACAAACTATTAATATAAAGATCAATATAACTTGATCCTTGGCAACATTGAGAAACCATCATGGCTCAATGGTGAAACTTGACCTAAGGGCCAAATGCTTCAAATGAACATTTTCAAAGTCCCCTTTCTACTTGTATTCATGGCATCATTGACTTCACTGTGATTGTGCTTTCAATTTAGAACCATGAGATTCGACAAATAAAATATACATAAATAGGGAATACAAGTCAAATGCATTCTTCTTATGATTATAGAATGTGCTTACTTGTAGTAGCCTTATCATGTACACCAATCAAATTAATTAAAAACAGACAAATATTGCAAACAAAAGCTGAAACTTTTCTCCACTTCTCGTTTACAAACTTACAAACAAAGCAGATATTGCCATATTGATGCGCATGTCCGTTACACTAGACTTGGTGAACCTGCAGAGATGGACTTCATAAGTGACAAGTAGGGCACCAAGGGCATTAAGAAGATCTAAAGATATAGTTATAAATCATACAAAAGAATAGCTATGGGGAAATGGATAAAAAAAAAAAGAGAGAAAAAAAAAGTAAATTACTGTAGTTAATTACAGATGAAATGGTCCATGATTAACCTCAAACTAGGATTTCTTCCCTTTCCCTTTTCAGAGGTAATTCTCTGTCAGAAAAACATATTAGTCTTTATTTAGAAGTTCTAGATGAAGCCAAATCTGGTCTTCACTTTGTAATATAAAAGTCTGTCTAATAATTTGTTTTAGATTTAAATTRTAACTTTAGGGAGAGCTACATAATTCAATTTTTGGATCACTGAAAATAAAACCATAGGTTTCCTACAACAGCTGCTTCACAACCAGAAGATGGTTACTAAAGGAATCCCATTCATGAGAAGATGATACTGAACAGTACCGTGGTCCCCAAGGTACAATTGGCTGCTTATCAGCGTATTTGATGTCCTTTGATACCTGCTTTGTACAAGCATAAAAAATACTGTTCAATAAAAATAACTAAGCCAAGAGCCAGAGGTTAAAAGCTAGCTATATATAGATGAAAGCAAACTATACTAGTAAATCTCTACCTACTATTACAGAATGTACTTTCCATAGGAGCATGCATGCAAGAAGGCAAGACGGAAGTTCGAACTTGATGCTAATGGCTAAAATTTATTCTGCTTCATTTATTTAAAATAAAAAATGATTCTATGTATCGATCTTTGTTTTAATTTTTTATGTTGATTATATAACTATTTAAAATAAGTATCATATATGCTTTTATATTGGTACATTCATGTCAGTTACTTTAAGAATCTTGTGACAGTACATCATCAGTTGGTGGCATAAAATAAAAGAAGACAATGGAGAAGAGTTTTTTTAAGTTTTCTTCCAATCGATAGCATGCTGATATGGAGTTGACACAAACAAAGGGCTACACCAAGTACTCAAGGTTACATTTCATTCAAAAACAAAGATTGCAGCTCCCTATCCTAGTCTATCTTTTTTTTTTAATCGATAACAGAATTTCATTAAATTTTAGAAAAAATACAAGAGGGAGCTAAACTTTCTTAACCTTACTCAAGGAAATTAAAAATTACAATTGTGCCCAAAATAAATGATTTCTTCCAACCCCTTGTTTTGCTAGTGCATCAGCAAACACATTAGCCATTCTTTTAACCCAGCTAAACCTCACATCCACATTTCATGCCAGCCACTTTAACCTCTTTTTTTCATTACTAAAAACCCAGAAATCACTTTCTTCCTTTTTGCAACCAATCCACTACCAGCTTTGAATCACCTTCTATAATCAGCCTACTCAAGTTCATGTCATTTGCCTTTTGCAATCCCTCCACAACAGCCATAACCTCAGCCCTATCCAATTGGGCCTGAAAATAAACCAACAATTCTGCCTTCACTATCTCTAAAAACTCCTCCAATACCAGAGGGAATTGGGTTAGAAGAACTACTCCCATCAAAGTTTAGTTTGATGTAGTCATTCATTGGTGGAGACCAAAGAGGGCATGTACTGGATTTATGACAGCCCGACCTAGCCACTTTCAGTTTTTCATAATGTCGCCTACTGAGAAATTGGAAAAAATCTCCAGAGACTTCACCCGATGTACTACTCTAACCATGATGGTCTCAATAACCGCCTCTCTACTTCTTTTCTTTTCTGAAAAGAATCTTGAGTTCCTTTCTTCCTATATGGTCACAGCTCACTGCAGCCCTTAAACATTCCCATAACATTTTTTCCCTTTTCTTTGGCCACCTAAAGAAAGTAGAGCCAAACAAGCTTTGCACATTATGTGGTTTGCCCACTGTTGTGAAACTTATTTTGGTTTGCTGTTAGTATGCTGTCAGCCTAGTCAACCTAGGTGCTGTCAGCTAGTTCCTTTTTTCCTTTTTGTTATTTGTTCATTATTATGAATTGCCACCAAGGGCATTCTTGTAATTGCCACCAAGGGCATCCTTTTTGTTATTTGTTCATTATTATGAAGCTGGTAGCCGCCCAGCCCTTTTGTCTTTGGTTCTCAATCGAACCTTTCTCTCTCTCTCTCTCTCTCTCAATCGAACACACGGTATCGGAGAAATAATTCTGGGGCTCCAAATTTTTTTTTCTCATCTGAATCTCGGTCCTCTTTTTTTCCTCTCTTTCTCTTGATCCCTTGGAGATGGAAGACCAAGAACTATAATCAGATTGATCAAAGTTCTTGCGGCTGCTGTTCTTTGGGTTCCTCCTTGGTCGTGACACCAAGGAAACCTTAATAGAAGAGAGGCGATGCTGGAATGACCCTCCTCTCTTAGTTCACTGCTGTGGAAAGCATTTTGTGGATTCTCCGATGCTGTGAAAAAATATTTTCTGGGTTCTTTTTCTTGATCTCTTGCACCTTCGTACAAGTGCTGGACAGGGGTATTGCCCCCTTTTTTCTCTGTGGTCTATGCTGTGAAGAGCTGTGAATGCCGTGGTTTTGAGGTTTACATCTCCATGCTGGACAGGAGTATGTGTTTCCTTTTTTTATCATGTGCTGTTGTCGAACTGTTGGTAGGGCTTGTTAATGACTCCTTGTGGCCGAACTATTGCTGCTAATGGACTGTGTTTTAAGTAGCCTGTTAGTAGACTAGTTGTTGGACTGATTATTGGGCTATTCTAAGGGCCGACCTATTGCTGGACTGTTTCAGCAGTATTTTTTTCTCTTTTCGGAAGTGAAAATTCTTGGGAGTTTAGCATTCTGTTTGTGTGGGATCTGGTCTGGCATAATTGTGACCCTTTTTTTTTCTCAATGGCAAATTATGATTCAGCATCTTCTGGAGTTACAACAACTCGTAGTACAGCTGGTATGGGGGGTGAAAACATGATGTTTCCCATGCCAATTACCCCTTTAAATGGCCTGAACTACCTGGAGTGGGTTAAAAGTGTGAAACTTTATGTAACAGCAAGGGAAAAAGCTGGTTACATAAATGGCAGAGTGAAAGAACCCAAATGTGAGATAGCTGAACATGATAGGTGGGACCAAGAAAACAGTATGGTAATGTCTTGGCTCCTTGCAGCCAGGGAACCCGATGTGAAGAAGAACTTTATGTGGGCAGACACCACGAGTGAGATTTGGGAACAGGCCAAAACCACCTATTCTGAGCAAAGGCATTATGCCAAAGTTTACCAGTTGCAAACTGAATCCT